AGGGGGGGGGGGGGGGGGGGGGGGGGGGGGGTCTGCTCGGCCGGCTACTGAATAGCATGCGATGCCTTGATGGCCGGACGACTTGATTGAAGAACGGCAGCGATCAGACGGTCACTCACACCACCCTGACGCACGCACACACACACACACACCATCACCAGACCATCGCCCTTATGTCTGTGTGCAGATGCTTTTGCTTGTCAGCCATGAGAAGTCCTTCGTGATCAAAGCTGGCATGCACGAACCGCGAGACATGATAGAGGAGCACGGGTGGCGCCGAGACAATCCGTCAGGGTCGATGGATGGACGGCCGTTGTGCGCACCCTGCTCTCCCAGTTGTGCGCTTCCCTGTCCTTTTTTCTTTCTTTGCTTGCTTTGCTTTTTCCTTTTGCTCCTTCGTTCAAGACACATTATATATATGCGGACACAAGTACACACTCCAAGTCCACACGTGCACACATTGATGTGGTCCTTTGTTCGCTCGCACGGACGCACATGCACGCAAAAACAACACACTCACGAGCGACACACACGAACAAGCAATTCGCTCACTCACACTAGCCGACACCCACACTTCAACCTGACGGCCACCAACACAAACAAGCAGGAGAAGCTTGGACCCTGTGCACTGAAGCCGACATGCAATTGAGCATGCACACTGACCGACACACAAAACACCACCAGACAGCAGAAAGACACCATTAGGATGAGAGAACAGATTGCCCTCTCCCTTTCACAAATAAACAGCCATCCATCACGCACATCGCAACGACTGCACATGGTGGTCTCGGCATCGTCACCACTGTTTGTCCGCCGCCGTACACGCACACATCGGATCGATAAAAACCCGATCCGCTGCCGTATGCGTTGCCATTGCCATCATCATGCCAATCACGCCGATGCCGCACAGCACAATCGGTCAATCAGCCAGCCAGCAAGCCGTCCCACGACACACTTGAAAAACGGGACAAGCCGCGCCATGCAATAAAGCGCAAAAAAACACACAACAGACACGACTTTGTGTCCTTGGGTGGGTGGGAGGGCTCACGGATACAGACATCAGCCAACCATACACAAGTACACACACGAGACAGACAGACAGACCGCATAAACCGCAAAACCGTACAATCGGCACGACACAACAGCCATACACAAGTACATAGAGGCACATCATTGTATGGCGCACGACGGTCAATTCCCCCCTGAGGTCTCGTCGTGCCGGCTCCCAGATCCCCTCACAGCCCCAGGGGCTCGCGGGAGCGTCTCAAGAGTAAGTTGATGCCGCGGTGACATTCGGACGGACCATTCTCTTTCCCAGCCGCTTTGGCTGCGCTCATTCCCCCTCTGCGGCGTCCCAGGCTGGTTTTCCTGGCAGCGGCGCTTGGCCTGGTCGTTGAGAAAGTCTTCGAGGATCCCATCGGCGACCTGGAGGTCCAGCCGGCCTGCATGCACCCGGGGCATGTGCGCTTCTTCCTAACGAACAGAGCACACACAAAGTCATACGGCTGTGAGCAGGTCCCTTCTCCTTCCTTCGTCCCTACGTACCCAGAGTGACTTAAAGTGACCGTCCAGCTGCAGTGCCTTCGTCACGAGAGCCTTGATATGCCCATGCCGCTCCTTCATGACGTTGTGACTCCACTTTTGTCCGCTGTTGTCGCGATCGATTTTGTCGACCATGGCCAGTATCGCGGTACGAACCACACGCTCGACCTTGACGAGACCGAACACATCTCACACCCCGCTATGTGTCGGCCTCGTCTACCTTATCGTCCATGAGTACCTGGTTTTCGGGTCCGGGCACTGCAGTGGTCGCCTGGTTCTTCTTCTCTGCCGCCAGCACCCGCCCATCCACCTTGTCACACCAGCTCTTGTACTTCACGTTGTCCGACTTCTTGATCATCTCGACCAGCCCATCCGACGTGTTCTTCCCGGTGTGCGTCACGACGATGCAGGCGTGCTTCTTGAGGCCCTCGGCCTCCTTGGTGAAGATGTTGTTCGTTGCCTCGAGCGACGCATGATCCAAGCTAGTGAGTCGGCCGTGGCGCAGCACAATGATGAAGGCCGTGACCCCTTCCATGGCATGGATCGAGATCTGCTGCAGCTGCTCCATGACTTGCTCGTCTGACAAGCTGGTGTCCTTGAAGCCGACAGTGTCAACGACGCGGTAGCACTTGCCGCGGTAGGTGAAGTCTGCGTGCTGGCATCGCTGAGTGACCGAGCTGACGTCGTCCTTCGCCTCGAACTTCTCGTCACCGCAGATGATGTTGGCGAGGGTGGACTTGCCGTTGCCTGTCGCTCCGAGAAGGACGATGCTAATCGGCTGCTGAGGATCCATGATGACTGCAGCAGCGAGGGAGCAGAACACACAACGAACGACGCGCCGCTCTCAGGGGAAAGGGATGCGCGGATGTAGACACACAGACAGAGAGCAGCTGGCCTTGCGGTATCTGCTCACTGGGGAGAGTGGCGGGAGAGGAGGGAGATCGGTGCCGAATGCTCGCAAGTCCTCTTCGTTTCCTGGCCCATCCCTTGTCCCGCAATGATTGGTACCGATTCCATTCATCGTCCCTAACAAAGTACCTCTGGGCACGAGCACAAACGAGTCTCGCCATGCAAACAGCTGTCCGTGACTTGCTTAAAGTCCACCCACCCATACAATTCATGCACCGATCTGACTGACTGACTCCCTCACCACACAGAGGCACGCACGAACGCGCCAACGTGGGCATCCCATCCACCCATGCACGCACGACTGACTGCACACAGCCATCAATCACATGCCGTCCGTCGATCGACTGAGCCCCTTCGCGGCTCCGATGTAGACGTGTATCATTCAACCACGAACGTGTATGTGTGTGTATCATTCAACCACGAACGTGTATGTGTGTGTACGTGCCATGCAGGCAGCTTTACGTGATATGATCCACCCACCCAAAACCCCAACGCCCCAATCTTCTCTCCCCGGCACCATACCCACAGCCACAGACACACGTATGGACACATGCTACACGGCGCGAGTCTGTCTGTGTGTCAGTGACTCATGACGCGAAGGGGTCGCTGCCAGCAGTGAAGTCTGAGGGAGGTGGGGGCGGCTGGTGCTGGTTGTGGGTGTGATACGATGACGACCCTCGCACATGGATGCCCAAACCGGCCTGCATGATGCAGACACACACATACATACAGGGAGAGAGAGAGTGACGCACACGTGGGGGGAGAACTCACCAGTTTTTCGACGATGATGCGTTCATTTTTCTGTGGCCTCTGTCTGCTCCACTCCGTCTCGATGATCATGCCGACGTTCCACCCACGACGCTCAAGCGACCTCACCCACTCCAAAGCCAACGCTGCAGAATGCACACACACACACACACAGAGACGTTGGTTGTCTGCTGTCTGTCTGCCCACGCTCACAGGCGCACGCACTCACCGCTCGGTCGAGAGTGGATGCCGTCACGGCCTCTCAGTAGCCTGCAAACACATAAACCCACACAAGGAGACACAGATGAGAGAGATACACCGGCATCCATCCATCCATCCCGGTGTGTGCGTGCTGACCGCTTCTTCTCGACAAACACGAGAGCGGCCTTGGCGCCACTGGCATCGGCGCTGCTGCTGCTGGCGTCAGGGCTGGGGCTGGCTGCTGCTGTCTCATCAGCAGCATCTGGTGCTGGTGCTGGTGTTGGTGGTGGCGGTGGTTGTGTGACGACGGCCAAATCGACGACGTGCGGGAGGTCGGGGGACCGGTAGAACACCTCATGCGACACACCCAGCCTGTGGGCACCGAACCACCACACAAACACACGCACAGAGAGAGAGAGAGGTGGAGAAAGAGATAGAGAGAGAGAGAGTGTGTGTGTGCTGCTGCTGCTCCTGTCCCTGACCTGTCGAGTATCTCGCTGGTGTCGTGGGCCCAATTGCGTCTGAAGGCGTAGTCCTCGCCAAAGCCCTTATTGAGGTTCTGCGGCCCCTCGGGCCAGGTGATGACGGCGTCACACATGGCGGTGAGGTCGTCGAGGTGGGGGGTGGTGGTGGGGAGGGAGGGGAGGGACTCGTGCTGGAAGGCGTCAACCGTCTGACACACACACATGGATAGAATGATGGATGGAAGTGTGTGTGTGTGTGTGGTGACCTGGAAGAGTTTCCTGTAGACGTTGCTGTCCTGTCGGAAGTCGTAGCACTTCAACACCTGCCAGCCACAAATGCCACAGATAAACAGATGGATGAGGGGTGCAAAGATTTGCACGCCCACAAAAAGTTAGGGGCTTGCAGGATGCCATTCGCTGACCACTCTGAGAATGTGATGGAAGTCGGGCAGCAGGTGGTGCTGCGTCACCGTGAAACACCTGCACACACCAATCACACACATCTCTCTCTCTCTGTGTGTGTGTGTGTGTGTGTCTGTGTGGCTGACGGACCACAGCAGGTGCGAGAACGCCCTCTTGAGCTCTGTGGCCAGGTACTGGTTTGCGATGCCCTCGCCGCTCATGGCGCTCTCAAGCTGACCATTCTGCGCCCCCTCCAACACACGGTCGTACAGCTGACAAACACCACACACATACAAAGATACACACACGGATGCGTGTGAGGTGGTGGTGTGGTGGTGGGATGGGGGCTGCATACGTAGTCCATGAGAGGCGCGTAGGTGACGTTGGCGTGCACCAGAGTCGACACGATCTGCAAGGTCGACTTCCATCGTGCAGCGTGGTTGAGTGGGAAGTCGTTCTTGCTGGCCCGGTCCTTGAGGATGTCCAAGGTGCGCCGACCAATGCCCTCAAACGCACCTAACCACACATAACACACAACACACACACGCCGACACCATACACACACACACACACGCACACGCACACGCTCACACACGGGCGCTTACCCTGGTCGACGAATCGTATCTTGAAGAGGCCCGCGGTGAGAGTGACGACCTGCATGAGGTCGAGGGCGTTGACGGCCTGCTCGTTGGTCAGATACGTCGCCAACAGATTCATGACGTTGGTGTCCCAGTACTCCAGATTGCCAAACGTCCTGCACACACAGAGAGAGAGGGATTGACGTCTCTCACAGTTGTGTGAGCGGGTGGCCATGGGGGAGAGAGAGGGAGAGAGGGGGCGCGTGTCAGTATGTTTACCGTCCGATGGAGATCCACAGGCGTGTGCTCTGCTCCGACCGAGACGTCATCGACGCCAACAGCTCGTCGCCATGCGCCTGCACACACCCACAATTTCTCTCTCTCTCTCTCTCTCTGTGTGTGTGTGTCTGTGTGTGGCTACATTGATGATAGTGGCGAGTGTGCCAAGGAGGGATGTGTTCCTGTGGTTGATGAGCGAGAGGCACTCGAGCACCACCCCCACCTCAGTCAAGCTCAGACCGCTCAGGTCCTGCACACGTCCAGCACACAGACACAGACAGAGGGAGAGAGATGTGTCGTTGGGGCAATGGGGCTGTTGCGTGCCTTGTAGACAATCGAGCCGATGACGGACTCTATCAGCCTGATGACACACGAACACACAGAGCTGTCTCCCCCACCACACACCCACACACTTACGCCCTGATCTCTGCCGTCATCTGCACCTCACCGAAACCCTCCTACACACACATGCACACACACACACGCATGATGTCTGTCTGTATCTCTATCTCCGTCTGATGCACTGCACTCAAGTACCAATGCCTTCTGGCCCGGCTGCCTGTCGCCCGGCGGCTTGCAGAAGATGCGCAGGATGGTAAGGTGCTCCTTCAGATCTAAGGAAGGCACGTGCTCCAGCAGCACTTGACAGAGATGCGCACGCACGCCTAAACCCCACACACATCCATCCATCCATCAATGACGTCACACGTACCGGGAGCCATCTGCGCGACGTCCCTGACGGTGGACACGTTCCTGCTATAGAGAGTGGGGTCGTGCAGGACGCTCAGCAGCCGCACCAGATCGGGCGGCGAGAAATCGGACAGTATCACGGGATGGCGCGTGATGTACTGCACACACAAGATGCCCATGGGTGTTTCTCTGTGTGTGTGTGTGTGTGGTGTGGGACGGGGGGAGAGAGAGGGGCGCGTACCGTGAGAACGCTCTTGAGGACATCCATGTTGCGCGTGTACCTCATAGGGTACGCCCGCAGCACTTGTAGGAAAAAGTCACTCGACATGTCGATGATGGCCGCACCATCGGCAGCACCCTCCCCCCCCTGCTGTTGCTGCTGCTGCTGTTGGTGAGCCTCCATGTCGACATCGCCGCTGATCTGCGTGGCTGCGTCGATGATGGCGAGGACGTGTGGCTTGAGATTGGCCAGCTGCATGGCGCCCCGCTGGCCCTGCCTGTTGAGCTCCACTAACAGATCACTGCACACACATCACACACACACAGGGACTCTCTCTCTCTCCGTGTGTGTGTGTGTGTGTGAAGGTGAGTTCAGGTGAAGTACCCGAAGGTGTTGAGGTGTTCCGAGTTGACCAGCTGCTGCTGGATCAGGCTCCCTCTCCCCAGCTCGTCGACCAGCTCCGGGCACGAGATCGACGCGCGGCCGAGGTAGTTGAGCACCATCACACAACGCTGAGAAACAAACCCATCCATCCGTCCATCCATCCATCCATCGCCCCCGCCACCACCTCCACCTACCTTAATCTCTTCCATGACGTCCATCTGTGGCTGCTGCTGCTGATGGTCCGGGCTGCCCTCTTGCTGCTGCTGCTGCTGCAGCTGCAGGTGGGCCAGTCGCATCTTCTCGCGGAACTTGAGGGCGAATATGGAGGAGCATCGCTTGAGCGGTGTGCGTAGGGTGAGGCTGCAGAGGGCCCACATGCAGTAGGCGATCGTGTCGGTGTCCACCGACGAACACGCCGACACTGTCGAGTCGAGAAACGACTGTACACACACACACACACACACAAGGACACAGAAGAAATGTGTGCGTGTGCCGCCGATGAGTGTGTGGTCGGTTCGGCGGGGGGGAAGGGGCGTCTGTGTGTGCCGTGCCGGCCTCTTACCACGATGGTGGGGTGCTGTTTGTCGAAGACGTTCATCTCCACCAGCAGCCCCAGCACCTGAAACCGCTCGTTCCAGTCCAGCGGGCTCGCCGCGCCACGCACATCTATCGTGTCGACGATCTTGCGGAAACACCGCCTGCGATACACATACAATGCCCCCATGTGTGTGTGGATGAATGTGTGTGTGTGTGTGTGGGTGGGAGATTGAGGTCTTACGGGTCACTCGAGGTGAGCGTGTTGAGGTCGATGGCCTCCTTTGGCTCGGGGGGAGGGGGTGGAGGTGGGGGCGGCTGATGCGGCTGCTGTTGGTCGTAGTACTGAGGTTCCGCTGACATGCCTGCAGACACCAACAGACAGACAGACAGACAGACAGACCGGTGCAATGGATCTGTTTACGCAGACACACGCACCTTGCTGGCCATAGTACGCTGCCGCCTGTGAGGGGTCCTGCGGCTGCTGATACCCACCACCCCACTGCTGCTGCTGGTCGTATGACGCACTGGCCTGGCCGTTTGGGTCAGTGGCAACGCCGTAGTACGCCTGATGCTGCTGGTGCTGTGAGGGGTCGTACCCCCCCTGTGGCTGTTGTGAGGGGTCATAGGCTCCGTTCTGGTAGTACTGCTGCTGGGCGGCATCCTCTTGATGGGCGTACACACCCTCCTGCTCATAGTACTGCTGATGAGGAGGGGGGTACTGCTGCTGCTGCTGCTGATATTGGTGATACTGGGGGTCCTGATACTGGTAGGGGTAGCCGTAGTAGGCGCCCGCGTCCTGCTGCTGCTGCTGCTGGTAGAAGCCGCCACCGGTCGCGTCGGAGTAGGGATCCACAGACACCTGACTCAACACACACATACGCAATCACCCACACAACAACGTGTTGACGACACACCAAACCTTCTCATCTGAATCTGTCTGTCGCACCACTCAAGACCACTCAAGACACTGACCTGCCCACCAACATCCTCAACATGCTGCGCATTCACTCCACCTCCACCAGCACCACCACCAGCGGCACTCGCCTGTGTCTGCGCCACAGTGCTCTGCCACCGCGCGTAGCCATTGCACGTGGGGCAGTTGCTGCCAGGTCCAGCTCCTCCAGCATTGCCAAACAGCGGCTGCGACAAAACAGTCTGCGGCGCGCCCGGCTGAGCCACCACACGCCACGCGACGGAGGGGTGGGGAGGGCGCAACGTGCGCAGCGGATGAAGCACGTGCAGCTTCATCTCTCTCCCAAAGACGCAAAACCGCGATAAAAGATCCTTGCCTTTCAAGCTCGCATGAGCAGCGATCCGAATCGGTCTGCCGCGGTCTGTCTGTTTGTGCGCGGGGGAGATGTATAAGGACACGCACACAGCAGAGGAGATGCAGGCACAGCAGACGGCACCATCGTCCGGCCGCCGCGGCTCGTCCTCGTCGTGTGAGTCGTCCATTCGTGAGGCCATCCAGCGGGTCCAGGGAGATCTGACGCAGTTCGACCACCAGCTGAGCGTCAAGGAGAGAGCCGTGGCCGCGCGCACGAGAGGAGGGGGTGCTGGTGCTGGTGCTGGGGGTGGTGCTGGGCTGGCGGCCATCGACACGCAGGGCCTGCATGAGACGCTCAGAGGCATCCATAGCGTTGTACAGGTGGGCATTGATGAGCACAGCACACCCAGGCGCCAAGAGCTTTGTCTGTATACCCCCTCTCTCTCTCTCTCTCTGTGCGTGTTGTGTGTGTGTGTGGCGATGGGTGCAGCACACTGAGGACACATTCCGCACGTGGACGGTTGAGCTGGCGGGGGAGGTGTCGGCCGACAAGCAGCGGCTCAAGTTCGCCTTCGAGAAACTCTCCAAACACTTCCAGGCAGAGATCGGACGACTCCGCCAACTCGCAAAGCGACTCGTAGAACTCGTGAGCCGAACCTCTCTCCCACCCACCGGGACACCCACCCACCCTCTCTCTCTCTCTCTCTCTCTCTCTCTCTGCAGGAGGAGGTGATTCGCCTTCGCGCATCAGCCCATCGCAAGAGGGCGGCAGCAGCGAGCAAGAAGGACACCACCACCACCACCACCAGTGCAGCAGATGAGGAGCAGGAGACCCTCCTCAAGCCCTCATCCACAGACACGGGCACGTCAGGCCGCGCCAGCCAGCCGCGGCAGATGGAGACCCGCCGGCAGCACCCATCGCCCACCGCCCCCTCCCCCCACTTCGATGAGGAGATGGGCCCGCCCGAGGGAGACGACTTTGATCAAGACGACGGTGACGACCAGGATGACCTCGTTCTTGCCCACGACTCGTCCGTGAAGCGGTCGATCGCCGAGGAGCGGCTCAGGGGCATCCAGCGCATCCAATCGCAGGTGGGCGAGGTCAACGAGATCTTCCGCGACCTGGCCGTCATGGTCGAGGAGCAGGGCCAGTTCGTGACCACCATCGAGAGCTCCATGGAGAGCACTCTGGACCACACCGGCCGGGGAGTGGAGGAGCTGAAGCGGGCGAGCGATTTGCAGCGGTCGAGCAGAGAGAGGGGGTGCTTTCTGCTGATGGTGGTGGTGCTGTGTCTGTTTGTGCTGTCGGTCGTGTGGCGGGCCGATGGCGGGAGTACCACCAACACAGTGGGAGGCGGCAGCGGGCACAATTTTTGACCCATTGACAGACTGAGGAAATGCCTGCGTTGATAGCGCTCTTGCGTAGGTTAGGCCTGTCTGGGGGGTTTCCTTCCTTGTATCTTTGTGAACCAGCGCCTTTGTCGGCCAGCAGTCCCTTGCACCTGAGTAAGGGCTTCCTGTGCGGCAGGGAGAGCTGACACACGAGGTGGGAGGAAGGCCTCCAGCGGGCGGGCCAGTCTGGTTCTTTGATTGACACGCAGATCGGGGAATGAGATTAGTCAGGTGAGGCTGCATTCTGCCGCCATGGAGACGCTATGTGTGTGACGCTGCATTGCATTGGATCGTTCCCGATGTCTGTTCGTTGCCTATTGATCTCTCCCGCATCACTCCCTCACTCACAGACTCACTCGTAGCACCCAAAGAAAACACAAGGATGAACCTCCGCACGACACAGGCGAACCAGCCAGCCATCCATCCACACACAAAATAGAGGGCGGGCAGTGAGGGAGGACAAGGAATGGACGGATGGATGGACACACGTGAGTGTTGCTATGGGTACTGAATGGTGGATGAACGATGCGGCCCCTCCCTCCACTCACACACACCAACACATCCCAGAATTCGTCGCGCAAACTGCTCGACTGCCAACAGACGCCTCAGGGGCGACCTAACCCCCCCCCCCCACACACTTACTTTATATGCGCACGATGAACAAGAAGGGCACACATGGAGCGGTACTGATGGATGGCATGGGAGACGTCACGGGGTGGTGCCCAGTGGCACCAGAGTGTTCTGATGTTGTGTTGGTCGGCTGTTGGTCGGTCGGATGGGTCGCGAGACTCACCAGGGGAGCGGCTCAGCGACACACCGACATTCCCTTCTCTCTCCCCCTTGCCCATGCGGCCATGGACGGATGGGCGCCAGCTGAGCTGGGCTGCTTGATTCCGCGGGCGGCTGTCGACTTGGGCACAGACTGCACGACCATTCGACACACAGGGCACACACACACACACAGACGTCTCGGCATGTTTGGTCTCCTCGTGCATCGTGCATGTGTCCCCACCGGCTGTGCATACGTACCGTGTCGGTGTAGCTGAGAGAGAGAGGAGGGAGGGAAGACTTCACTTATAAACCACAACGATGCCACCACCTCGTGTTGGGTGGCCGTGCAGGTCCTGGGCTTCGTTTATAGTGAGGAGGTCGCTGGCGAACGGCCACTTCACCAGCTGCCGCACTCTTCGACTACTTGCACTCCGTGAGCACTTTCATCGACCAGACCATGCCACATGGAGACCATGGTCTGTGACTGGGTGGGTTCTGATCACCGCAGTCGTCTCGTATGGACACCGAGGCCACAGCTCCACACGAGTTTTCGTCGTGGAGCTGTGGCCCTCCACTCCCTCTTAAGCCCCTTGGTCCTTACACATTACGTTGTGTTACAGACGTATATTTTGCGAGCTCACGAATTCTAACATTCCGTGAAACTGCTCGTCGTTACTTCGGCTCGTCGTTGGCCGCAATGAGCAGCGCCCTTCGCCTGTCAGGGGGTGATGGATGAGGTTTAGGGATAGAATTCAGAAGCCACCGACCGTGATGGAGGTAAGGCTCACCGCCGCTCTACGCCGGCCACCCCTTTCATTTCGCCTCTCCGTGCACATGTGTGTGTGGCCTGTGTCACCTCTCAGGGTGGCGCAGCCGTGCGATTCATCGCAGAAGGCTGCAGCACCCGGCTTGGCGAGGAAGTCTTCGTGTGCGGCAGCGTGCCGGAATTGGGGAACCTCAACGCCCTCCCGTTGGGCTGCCGCCATCTTCCCACCACCGCGAAGAAGCTCCAGTGCGTCGATTGGGGTCCACAGGGCGGCAGATGGGAGTCCGACAGGATCTCCATCGCCAACATCCCCGGCAGGAACAAGCCTGTAGAGTACAAGTATGTGATATGCGACCGCAGCAACCCGCCCAAGATTCTGCGCTGGGAGACGGAGTTCGGACAGCTCGGCCAGCACCGGGCGATTGCCGTCGAGCCGGGCCAGATCACGACACAGCATGACAACTGGGGGGTGGTTCAGCCCATCCGCACGACATTTGAGCCCCTCACCGGCCACAAGCGCGGAGGTAGGTCTGCTGAGGAAGTGTGGTGCGTCATGTCGTCATGTGTGAGTGTGTGCACATCAATCAGGTGATAGGAAGAGGCGTTTGAGCCAGCCCGACGAGGAAACAGAAGCCAACAAGAAGGTGTGTATGTCAAGATCATCGCGCCACAGCATCCATCCATGCCATGCACAGCCTCTGTTCCATGAACGAATGGACCTGTTCTGGCAGGGGCGTTTTGGCGGTCACGTAGCTGTCGGGCCGGTCGACACATCGATGGAAGGGGTAAGTAAGGGTCATTCACATGGAGGGATGCAAGTGAGGCAGCATGTGCGTGTGTGTGCTCATCGGTTGGTGTGTGTCGTTCTGTTCTGTGTCGGGTGGCAATGCTTGATCAGGTGTCTGCTGACGTTGTCGTTGACTCGATGAACAATGCCGAGGGCGGCGTTGACGAGGTGGGTGGGCACGTGGGCGGAAAACACAGACAGACAGACAGACGGCCAGAGACGCGCATGTGTGTGTGTGCTGTCAGGGGGTTAGTGCGTTGGAGAGTGCGTTGGAGGAGTCGGCACAGCCCTCCGATGAGCTGCAGGTCAGTATGCAGCAAGCCCATTGACACGCACAAGACGGATGTGTTTCGTCTGTCTGTGTTTGGCTGCAGCTGAACGGTAGTGTTGGTGTTGGTGACCCTGCGCAGATGCAACACCCGTCCAGTCTGCCGCCTCTGGTAAGTCTCCCAACCGCACAGACACCAACACACAAACGCGCTGGCTTCTCTCCCTCTCTCTCCCTCTCTCTCCCTCTCTCTGTTTGTGTGTGTGTGTGCTGTCAGGATGCCAAGACGTCTGAGCAGCTTGCCAGCGTTGCCGAGGAGGCTGACCAGAAAACCACCGATGAGCTGCAAGTCAGCGCATGACTCTTGACACTCACAACACGAAACTGATGCGTGAGCGTGTGTGCCTGTGATGGATGTGTGGCGTCTGTCGATCTTTGGCAGCAGGTGGACAGTAGTGTTGGTGTTAGTGTTGGTGGTGATGAGAAGGTGCAGCAGCAGTCGGCTCCGCCGACGCTGGTAGGTGTCCCAACCGCACAGACACCAACATACAAACGCACATCGTATGTCTGTGTGATGTGCGAAGGCCCTTTAGGTCGATCATTGGGTTATGGCTGCGTCGCCGCCACCCGTGGGCACCCAGGCCAGATTGAAATACGTCAGCCACCACCCCCTCCCCCCTCCCCCGTCCCCTCCACACACACAGAGAGACGGACGTATGGCACGCATTGCAGAAAGACATCCGTGTGCATTGGATTGGCCACATGCCTGCAGGATAACCTCATTGAATTCATCAACCATCGGCCCGCCCCCGAGCAGCGGCTCGCCCACGACACAATCGACCGTCTCAACAAGGGCTCTTCTCACAAGGACTTCGACGATATCAACGCTCACATCGATAGCACATTCTATCACGTGAGTGAGGGACACCGCCTCCCTTGACCCCCACCACATGCAGTGCATGATGTGTGTCATACACATATGTATGTCATCAGAGCACTAAGATGGGGGACGCTGAATTTGAGAATCACTTGTGGCCGAGCGAGGCGGAGAAGGGGCAGCTCGACGTCAATCACCAGGCCTTCCAGGCTAGTCCCAACACCAGGCAGAAGGAGCGAAACAAGACGCGGGCGCAGTACGCAAAGAAGATCATGCACAAGGTGGGTAGCGACCTCAAGGCCTACATGAGGGTGATTATGGATCTCAGAGGCTTGAATCGTAGGTAGACACATACACACATACACACAGATGCCGCCTGCCTGGCTGCCTGGCATGACGACATGATTGATGTGGGTGGATGGAAAGGGGCGTAAGGGTGTGCCTGTATGTGAAGTGTGCATCTACAGTGAGTGTGCCTGTGTATAGTCCTCATCAGTGCGCAACATTGCGTTCGTGTGCGTGCGCCTGCTGGATGGATCGCCTTGTGTGCGTGTGCGGAGGTGGCGTGGGTGTTGCATGTGTATATATAAGGGACGAGAATCAACGCTGTATCTCGCTGAAAGTGTACCACTTCGGTTGCGCCTTCCAGTCATCGTTTGCACACACGTACACACGGTCTCCGCCAACACCACACCATTTCAAGCGCAAGCGATGAGTCGACCTCACTCACACGTCCCCAAGTGAGCCAACACGCCCTCCAAAACCACCCCCTGTGCCCCCTCGCCCCCATTCTCGGCCGCCAAGACATAGATACTCATTGGAAGCGGCACGGTCACAGCGGCACACAGCCACCACACACTCACAAGCAGCTGTCCACTGACCTGACGTACACACACGGCACCGACGCACGCATAGGGACAGACAGAGAGGGGAGGGGGTGAGTGTGTGTGTGTGTGGAGGTGGCTGGTTGGGAGTGAGATGCTCTCTGCCCGACAGACACATGGATACTTATGTGAGGGTTTCGGACTAGGCCAGCCAGTAAAACAAGAGAACCGACAGACAGAAACACACACAATGCATACAAATACACGCACACACACAGATGCATATACATACGCACCCACGGACGCCAGTGTGTGTGTGCGGGGGGGGGGGGGGGGGGGGGGG